AAGGTTATTTGTGTTGATTGCTTCACACAAATGTAAATCCTCCTAATAAATAAAAATTGCAGGATGAAACATCTAAATGATTTCTCCTAAATTGAAGCCAAATAATAGGATAGCTTGGGAAGTCACCGAAGTTCTCCTTCGGATCCGTGACATCCTTTAGTATTTCCTCCTTTGGACTCCAAAACAAAAATGTTTCAAATTTGAATCAATCCTCTTTCACACTTCTTAGTCCAATATCTTTGAAATATTCTTACCATTTGAACTCCTTGAAGGTAATTTTTCTTGACTTTTATCGAGAGTATTCATAAGTAACTTCAGTTATCTATGATGTAATTAACTATAGAGGCTTGTCCTTATAGGAAACTTTTTCCGAATCCAGCATAATATAAACCCTATTTAATTCCTTATATTAAATAGAGGAACTTGTCGGTCAATACATTGGTTTCGCAGACCAAACGGATGTCATAACTTTCTTTAGTTTATTTGATCGAGTCTTACCCTCAATTCTTGTGTTCATCCTTCGGGATAGATACAGGATTTAAGGTAAAGCGTTTTTTCATCTAAACTATGAAAATTATGGGGTTAGTTTGACTTCAACTTTTTCAAAACTAAAATTTTTTAAAACGTCCTTCCGAAGCGGGCAACGGGATTTCAATTTTGATGACCAACAGCTTCTTACGGGCAAACCCCGCACCAAAAATAGTGTCGACACCATTATACTATCTATTTGAGTGGGACGTTATGATTAGAATTATAAAAGTTGTACATTCTGGGCACTCACAAGCAATAGCTCGTTCTTGCAAAATTATCATCAAGTGAGATGAGCCGCACTACAAGATTCGATATCATGTTCGTTGTGAAGCTATTATTATTTATTCCATAGCCATCTTGGGGACCCATATATCAAGTTAAATAATTTGTACTAGATTTCAAATAGTTCAGGGGCCTTTGAGATTATTAATCTTAATATGTAGACCCTTAACTAATATTTAGGAGTATAACAAATTTGAAGTCAACTTCAATGTACTAGTAAAAAATGACAAATGCAACCCATTTATGAGAGAGCCATTTTGTCCTGAACAAGTAGTTCATTACATACATGTATATAGATATATATACATGTATGTGCGTGTGTGCGCGCGCATGCATTACAATTTGTATACAAATGTCATAAGCTAAGTAGGCAAAATGAAATTACCTATAATACAAAATGGTAGATTTAATGTCTCGACCTAGGCGTAACAAAGTATGAGCACATTTAAAGAAAGGAAAATTTACATACAACCACTCATTTCTTATGTATTTACATATTTAACACCTAAACTTTAACTTTTAAATATATGCACCTTACCTGTGAATGAAAATGTATATTTCACTTTCCAAAAGTTAAAATGTGAGTATTTTTTAAGTGATATGAAAGATTTTGGTGGCATAAATGTAAAAAAGCAAATTTTGGTGTTGAACATGTAAATACATAAGAGTTAGGTAGTATGCATGTGAACGTCCCTTAAAGGAAAAATAAAATATGAACCAAACAAAAATTTGTGTGAGCTTACCAAGAGAGAATGACAGTTGACGCAGGGCTTCAATAAAAGGCATTGATTCAATATCACCTTGAAAAGTAAAAAAAATAATAGTAACAACAGCAACATTTGATTAACTTCGGCCTCTGTGACACTATGCCCAAGGAGTAAGATTGAAATTTGATTATTTCCAGATCTTACCTACAGTTCCCCCCAACTCAATTACACATACATCCGCAAGGTCATCCTTTCCATCAACAGGGATAGATGATACTGATTCAATCCGATTTTTTATCGCATCAGTTATGTGAGGCACGACCTAGGATCCACAATCCGCACAATCATGAATATAAAACTTCAATGAATTTTACGTAGAATAATATTGGTTTAATTAAAAGTTTGCCCCCCAAAAAAAAACCTGAACAGTCTTTCCAAGATAGTCGCCACGTCTTTCCTTGTTGATAACAGACTGTTACAAATTAGACGATATAAAAAGCTGAATGCTATAGAATATTTTTAGGGGCACTTACATACATACCACTCTATTCCTATGAATTTACATATCTAACACCTAAACTTTACTTTTTACATTTATACCACCCAAATCATCATATCACATAAAAAATATCATTATTTTAACTTAAAAAAAAAAAGTGAAATACATCTTTTCAAGCAAAGATGAAGTAGCATATATGAAAATTTTGAAGTTTGGGTGTAGCATATGTAAGTACATAGGAATTATGTTGTATGTACGTAAATATTCCATTTTTGTAGTGCTATAATTGGTTTCCAATAAAATGGACTAGCCTGATATATCTTCCCTGTAGTGATGTTGTTGTCCTTGGTTAGTGTAATATCCAAGAATCGTTCATAGTTACCCAAGTCTAAATCAACCTGTTAATTGGATAAAATCAGTACAAGAAATCTCGAACGAGTAAAGCATCAGCAAAACCATGAACAAAGCAAGACATAACAAATTGTTAGATAAAACCCTTAGAGCATCAAACAATGCTCAAAAAAATTGAGAATAGAGTTCTTAAATGACATAATTTGTGCATAAAAGTTCATGTAGCAAACAGAGAGTTGATGTTAACCTCGCCACCCATCATCAAGAACAAAAACCCTCCCCATGTTCAAAAGGAGACATGGTCCCTGCATCAGTGTTCAAATATGGGTCTGCAACAATAAAATATCATTAGATGTACTCCTAAAATATTTAAGAGCTATTAAACAAAGTTTTAAGAAAATTTAATCTGCAAAAGATAAGTAGAAAAGCTACTTCCAGTATAGACTTCAAAATTGCATTAAATACCTTTGTCAAAAAAAAAAGGATGGGGGGTGGGGCCTTTAGCTAGTTAAAACTAAAGGAAAAGCCAATGGAACCTTGCAACTAATTGTAATTAATTGCTAAAAGCGAAGCTTAGAAAAACTAGCAAAAGTAGAACTAAAGACAATATTAGTAGCTTAAAATGAGAAGCATTGGACAACTTATATGTTGCCACCTATATCATTATATTTTACAAATCAATAGCCAATCCACAGACTTTAGAAGGGAAGGAAGGCAATTTTATCATGATAAAAAACAATCATAGCCAACGCTAAAAAAGTTAAGGAAAGGCTTATAGCAAATGCAAACTTTCCTTGGCTTCTCCGGCCCTCCAATTTTATGTTTTAAAAGAAAGAGATGGTGGTGATGATTGGTAACATATGATTCCATTCCTCTAGCTTTGACAAGGATGAACCTCATAACTCAAACTTTTACTCTGTGAAATTGATAAGTTTTAGATTCGCTACAACTTAAAGTTTGGAAAGAAATAGAGGAGATCTTCGTATGTCGTGATCCCATTGTTGCCTTCCCAACTACTTCCACTCGAACTATAGCATAAGGTTTCGGGCACGAGAGCGGGATGGGAAAAGGAGATGATGGCTTCAGGGGAAGGGATTAGATGATTGTTTAGAGCAGGGAGGTGGAAAAGATTAGACAAGTGATTAGGGCAGGGAACAGGGTTAATTTCAATTAATTAAATAGATTAATAATTAATAATTAATCAAATGTTTTATCATATAGACTTATATACAAATAATTAATGATTAATTAACAAAAATTAAAATCTAAATTAATATTTAATTGTTTTATAAAGTTCTTATTTATTATTAATTAATTTAATAAATAACTAATTAATGATTAATTAGTGAATTTTAAAATAATGCTTAGTAAATAATTTGTTTTAAATTGTTTAATTAATGATTAATTAGTTTGGTAAATAATAAGTTCTTGTTTAACATAATTAAAAATAAAATTCTAATTTAATTTAATTAGATTTAATAATTACATCATTAATATAATATTAAATTTATATTTCGACTAAAGGACTTAAATCCTAAATAAAGTATCAACCAATTTCACAAGATTTAATTAGATTTAATATTTGTCATACCAAAATATTTTTTTAGGATTTACTAAAACTAGATTTGCAATATTTATTAAATCTTACTAAAGCAAAATTTTACTTGCAGTTAAACAGTCCCTGTATGTGGTCTACTCCCCTTTTCAAATAAAAAGACAAGCCACCTCTCCAACTTGTGAATATTTCATTCCTTTTAAATTAGCATAAAAATGATGATTTAAGTTACTTTTTTATAGATTAGATGGATTACAATTTGCTAATAATTCCATATATGAAAAAAAAAATTATTCTTCCTTGGTTTTAAAGATAGGACACATGCAAACTACATAAAAATTCCAAATTTAGCTCTAATCCAATAGAAGTAATTCTTCTCTCACACACTATAGTTTGTTCCCTCTCAAGATTAGTTAACCTCTATGTCATCTTATTTTCTCTTTCTACCCATGGGCGCAAGTACGAGAGAACTAATTCATCTCTCTCAATGAAGGATTATTTGGTCGGCTGCAAAGGCGTGTGTTGCATTCCTTTTGCACGACTTTTCAGATTTTAGGCATTTAGAATGGAGAATTATCACTCTAATTAGGTTTTTTAGGTTAGTTTTTGTACTATTTTCTAGTGGGACAGCCATCAGCATCTCTAATTATCACTCTTAGGGTTGTATCCAAATGCGAAAATATGCTCCAGTTGTAAATCGTCATGAGGTGGTGTTTATCTACCGTTCTCTGCATTCCAAAACCTCTCCTCCACTGTTGACATCACTGAAGTTGATGCATACGCTCGGAAAAGCTCTTTGTTGTTTTCCTTGAGCTGCTCTTCACTTCCCGCCACCTCCCACTTGTTGTCAGCCCTTTCAGTTATCTCCCACCTACAGCCAGCCCTTCCGGCAACAGCCCTTGCTACCATGAGCCTCCCATAGCCCTCACCTCACTCTATCAAAACCTCCTTGCTGCAGTCACCACCCCACAACCTTGTTGCCGCCCACCTTCCAACCACGTGACAACCCCTATTGCCTTCCTTGTCGCAACTGCTGCCTTTGTTGTTGCCTCTCGACCATACCACCCTCCATACTTCTTATTCTCCGTAAATTGCAGCACCATCACCCTCAACCTAAGTCCTAGCTGAGTTTGAGTCATGTCTTTTGTCATTTCCTAGTTCCGAGTGTCTTTGATTGTAATACCTATTTATTTTTTTAGTAATAAAAGTTACATTTCCGTTGTCCTTTTGGTTAACTCTGGTATCACTCGTTCGACTTGAATATCCTCGATTGTTCTACTAGGTTGAAATTGAAGAAATTTAGACACAATAGTACATTCCATAAGAAAGATTCCCAATAATAAAAAAATGCAAGGAAACTCAAACCATAAAACATCAAAAAATCTATAAAAAATAATAATACAAACCATGGACTAGCTTTGTTGGCAATTAAGTAGTAAAAGCATATCAATGTAGTTAAATGTTTAGAAATAATTCTTCAAAATTAGCCAATTAAATGTTTGCATCAAAAAGATTGTGAAAGGCATGAGAGCAATATAAAGGTATTTTAAAACAATTTAACTTTGACATGTATATCCTCCAAGAATAATAAGAAAAAATTAAAGGTCAGTGGCTAAAAAATAGGCAACGGCAGCCTCATTAGAAACTTCCCACGTTATCAACATTAATCAGCAATCTTAAAATCATATGAGACCATCATGATACTCATTTCAATAAGCAAATAATATTTTGAAAAGGAAAACATACTAACAATTGGTAATCACAGAACACCAAAAGAATATGTAGTGAACCTATTTTTATTGAGGTCACACGAAGCCCGCATGATTTGAGCACGACGCCAATGCTGCTTGCTGTTACTCCCTTCCCTAAGCCGCTTACCACTCCACCAGTCACAAGCACATACTTCATTTGTTTCTTTGTTTGTTTTGTCACCGATAATTGTGCATCAGTTGTCATCATTTGAGAATATGTAGCCCTTTTTTTCTGAAAACCTCCACCTCCCACAATTTTTACCACTGCCACAAACCGCCTGAGTTGAGTAGAATGCCACGGAAAAAACAAGCTATTTCAGAAGAAAATTGTATTAATTTGGTTAAAAATACTTAGAAATGTGGTGAAATCACTCCAACGGCACAGTTATAGTCATTCACCTTTGTGAAGAAATGAATTTAGGGAGTGGGAAGGAAAAGACTTCTCTTATTCCATTTTGTAGGAGTAGTAGCGCCCCTTTGGAGAAGCCAGCTCCATTGGATAGCATCTAAAAGCTAATATATAACAATGATGATGTAAGAAGGTGATTAAGAGCTCGTCTTTTATTTTATTTAAATATAAAGATTAACGCAATCAATAATGGGAATTGAAGTAGCATTGGGGCTATGTCAAGGTTCACCCAGGTGATTTGGCATACTCACAAACATTGCACCGTAAAACATAAATAACATCAAAATATGTAAATACGTATATCACAATTAAACAAGAAGAAAATTGCAGAAAAAAAAGTAAATTGTCTAATAATTATCCCAAAAAACTTAAACACAACAATTCATTAAAAATCATATTTTCATGCTTCACATTGCATTGCCTATTAAAATACTGCATTCTAACCACCAATTGCAAGCCTTGTCCAGAGGAGAACTGCTTTGGACTTCATAATTCTCAACTATAGCAGTATAGCACTCTTTACTGCAAGTCCATTGATATTGAACAGCTTTTGCTCTTTGCATTCAAAAGTTTGAAATTAAAACATATGATTCTCGTAGTTTTCTAGAAACTCGGAAATGCATGACCACTTTTCTGGAAAAAAGTAACATATTTCAGCTAAGAGGTACGGTATTATCTAACATGAATATGTAAAAAACAGCAAAAAGATAGCAATTCATGTCAAATTCACATTACATGTTAGTATTAGGTGTTTTGAATATTCTTGTAGAAATGTCATTGCTATGATTAAGTTTCTTTATTGCAGACTGTGCATTCACATTTAATGTAACTATTTGATTATTTTCTGGTTAAAGCCATGCCCTAACATATTTGAAAGGAACATTCATCCTTGGGGATCTATTAAAAAAATACAATTCAGTTATTGCTATCAGATGATCCATCAATTCTTGTGAGATCAAAATACATAAAAACTTAGTGGTGTGTATCTAAATTTCCAAAAAAAATATCAAAATAGTGCAAATATGTATGTACATATATCATGCAGAAATTAAAGTAAATTTCTTAAAGTTGACGCCAGATAGTTGGCATAAGGCCAGGGATGATGGTGATGAAAATCATGCACCGCAGCTAACGATATTTGGAGGCCGATTGGATGCAAAAATTCTTAAACTTAGAACATCAATAAACTACAGTCCTTAAAGAAACTACTACTTGACAATTTGCTTATCCAGTATCCCATTTTCCCTCATTTCAAACTTCAACTTCCAAAACTTAAGAGCGCGGCATTTTGCTCATCAGCTGTCAATAACTGTCACCGCCATGTGAAGCACAAAGGCAGAACAGTGTAAACGGTAAAGTGTGAAGAAAATAACGGAGTGAAAGGCACCTTCGCCAGAGCAGTGGAAGTCGCCGAAAGCAGACTGAGGCCAGCGGGTTCTTGGAAGAAGAACTAACGCTTATATGGGTCTTCAAAGCGAAGCTAGCCGGAGAAGAGAAACCTTTAACAGGAGCCAGGCCGGGAGAGGAGACGCACGGAGAAAAATGGCACTTCCCCCGAAGAGCTACGGTGGAGTTGGCAAGAGTTTGTAATAATGGCTCAAGGCAATATTGGTTCTAGGTGGGCCTAAGCTTTTAGGGCATCGAACATGTCATTATTGCTCTCCATAAATTAATATTGAGGTATTTACACAATTTTTTTTATTTTTATAAATCGAAAGTCTAATTATATGTATGCACTTGTCTAACACACAAAGTTCAATATGTACAATTATAATGCCTTAATGTCATAAATTTAAGCATGAAAATATTTATTGCACTTTTAAAAAGATATTGAAAATGATTTTTTTAATGTAATATTTAAGATTTAGATTACATGCGAATAAATATGAATCTTTAGGCGTTTGATATATAAATACATAAAAAAAATGTGATATGCACCTAGATGCCTCGAGTTTTTAATATAAATGTGTCGTAGTTGTAAATATCAAAACATGTTTGACAGAGGTGAATACATATAAAGGTTGTGTGGCATGCATTTTTATATACATGGAAGATGGCACACAAAAATTAGAAAGATATACATACATATCACTCCATTCTTGTTTATTAACATACAATATCATAACTTTAAATAAATTCTAAAGGGGACGATACTTAAGACCATTAGTCGTGTATGGAAAGCATATGAGCGGTCAATCCAGTGTCCGTGATTTACTCAAGCATTACAAATTGCAATGCTTGATTATGTTTGACACTTACACTTCATCAACCTTGCTCATCACATGATAACTGCAATAGTGGAGAGATGGTGTCATATGAGTGCGTTATAAATTGTATATGTTTCGGGCTTTTATAGTTAATCATATAATAAGAAATTTTTTTTATTTTATAAATGAGAAGACTATTACACTATAGGACGTACAAATTATTCTTGGGATTAGGGTGGATGGAGAGGCCCTCGTTGGTCGTATAGTTATTGGCCCAGAGTTGTGTTGGTTAGATTGGTCATGTTGTTGTGGTGATTTATTGGCAAGCCGTTTTGTCGTAGATGTGCGTGTCTATCAACATGGAGAATAATATATTATGGCACTTTCATACAAGTCGCTCATAATCCAATACAATTGTACCTCTTTGTTTACGTAGATGCACCTTTTACAAAGAATCTCACTAGGGATTATCCTCTCCCATTTTTGTAGTCATGTTTGGACATACATTCAATATTTTTTTAGTAGTTTTTTGCTTCTCGATATATCAGCATCACACATATATTTACAATATTTACCATTACCTGAGATTTTAGTTGTGTTTCCACGGTATTCACTGAGAGACTTTGTGTTATCACAACTGTATAGAGCGTTAAATATGTTTATAAAATCTACCAATGTTAATATAAGAGAATGTTTACATTTGTCACGTGTGTGGCATTGCGAGCATTTGCATGTGGGCAAGTCGACCCTCCATGTTCAAATTCTCATTAATCTATCTCGCAAGTCAGTAGAATTCAGATAAATTATAAATAAAGAAATGAGTTTTGAATATGCACCTAAAAATATTTATAATAATGTCATATGATACCTTGATGGAATGAGGACAAAACAAGATAAATGTCCAGAAGAAAGCTGCAAATGTATAGAGACGATAGTGATGGGCTAATTCAAAGTCGGGTTCTCGATATATTATTGCATGTTATTTTTATATTTTATAAGAAATCATAAGATCTACATGAGATTTTTCTTTAGAGTATGAAAATATAAACATCTCGTGCTTCTCTTACTAGATGGAAATGTGTTTAAGTGACCTCTTTTAGAATGAACAATGTGACAGTTTGCTTCTATACAGTCCACAGTGATTGAACATGCATGTATGTGTGTGTTTGTGTGTGTGTGTGTAATTTTGGATTGTCGATTGTTGAGGGAAACAAAATAGAGATTGAACGCATATTATCAAAATTGCATTTAGTTATGGAACAATCGTTGGACCCTCATAGTCCCATTGAATCCACCTTCAAGCGATGAAAGTGCATAACTGACACATTAATTATAATGGTATAGAGCATGAGCGCCAATATATCTACTTGAACCATCAACTTAACCACCAAATATTTTATATATTTGTCCATCTAGAGAGAGTTTAATGGTATGTATGTAATTAATATTCAATTTATACTTATTTTCTCATACCTCACATTTATATAATTATTATGAACTTATGTAGGTGGATAACTTTATACGATCAAAGGGCCTAGCTGAGAGATTCACAAGTGGGCATGGTGAAGATGTTGTGGTTATGCAATAAGTTTACAGTGAACTCCCATAGCTTCATAACAAAGTAGATCAATCATTATATGTTGGTTATGTTATTTTTGACCAATCAGCAAAGTGTGCTTCCTATAGATCAAATTATGATATTGCATCTCGATTGTTAGCAAACATTTTATGATGATAAACTGCAAATGCTTCTTTTGATTTCATTATTTTGTCACATGGGACTTGCACAAACATCGCTTCTTGGTTTGGCACAACAAAATCAACTAAAAGACAACCTGTCTTTTTTGGTTTGGCGTGGTCACGCTAGTCCCAGGCGTGATCGTACTCAAAAGTTCCTCGATGTGGTCATGCCTGGGCTAGACCTGACCACGCTCGAAAGTTACTCAACAAGGACATGTAGCCCTGGGCATGACTACACCCAGGCAAACTGTCATGACACGCCACTGATCTGTGGCCTTCATCCTCGGATCAAGCCACGAATCGTCACATCGTTTTGTTGGCAGTGATCTGTGGCTCACTAACCACCGGACCAGTCTTTGTCATCGATGTGCCACCCAATCAGATGACTTTGAAGGGTTCTGCCACCGCCTTCTAAGCTTATAAACATGCCACCTTAGACACTTCTCAACAGACACATGCAATCGGCTCAAACTTTTTGGTACTTACTATAAACAGAGGAAGACAAAGAAGAGAACCAATATTTCAGCAAGCCTCCTTCTCCAGTCAAGCTCTCTTCTTCCAATAAGTCTCCTTACCAATCCTCTTTTAGTATAAGCATTTATTTACATTGAGTTCCAAGTTAGCTTTATGCTAGTTTAATCAACTAATTAGACTTGGATTAGGCTCGAATTTGGGTCTGACACAGGTCAACCCGAACTTAGTCTAACCCAAACTCGCTTAGCCAGACCTAACACAAATTCACTCAGCCAAAACCTAACCCAAACACCAAACCTCACCCAACTCAGGTCAAGCTCAAACCCATACATAAATCTTAAACCTAACCCAATTCTGACTTTGCCCATATCTGACTTAAATCATAAATCTAACGCAGGTCTAACCCAACCCATACCTGACCCAAACACTAAACTTAACACAGGTTTGACCCAAACCAGATATGAACCAAACCCTATACCTAACTCAAGTCTCACCCAAACTATATCTGACCTAAACCCTAAACCCTAACTCAGGTCTGACCCCAAACCAGACTTGTCCCAAACCCTAAACCTAACACATGATTGACACAAACAAGACCATATCCAAACCCTTAACATAACTTAGGTTTGACCCAAACCCTAACCTAACATAGCTCTGACCCAAGGTACACCTAACCCAGATCAATCCTAACCCAACCCGGGTCAACCCAACCTAACCCGGATGAAACCCAAATCAAACCTAACCCAACCTGAGTGTACCCAGCTTAACCCAAACCAAAACTAACCCAACATGGGTCAACCCAGCTCAACCAAGTCAAACCCAAACCAAACCCAACTCAACCCGGGTCAACCCACCTTAACCCAAGTTAAACTTGAATCATATATAAGCCAACCCATATCAACCCAAGTTAGCTTAGAGATAGCTTAAGCCCAAACCAGCTATCTCATACCATGCCTTGGCTCGACCTCAAACTCACTTAAGCATAAAACACGGAGAAGAAGATATCGTAGCAAACTTTCATATGAATCACTCATAATCCCATACAATTATACCTCTCTGTTGGCTTAGATCTTTTACAGAGAATCTCATTAGTGATTATCCTATCTCATTTTTTGGGTCTTGTTAGGACTATCTTCAATATTTTTTAAAGTTTTTTTTTTTTTGCTTCCCAATATATAAAGATCACACATATATTTATAATATTTACCATTATTTAAGAATTTAGTTGTATTTCCATGGTATTCATTGAGAGGGTTTGTGTTATCACATTTGTATAAAGAGTTAAATATGTTTAGAAAATATACCAATGTTAATATAACAGGATATTTACATCTGCTATGAGTGTGGTGTTGTGAGCATCTGCATGTCGGCATGTCGACTCTCGATGTCTCATTAATCAATCTCATAATTCATTGGAGTTCAATTAAATTACATAGAAAGTAATGAGTTTTGAATGTGTAGTTTACATTTGTTTTTATCGTTTTTATTTTTTAAGGAGTCGCTAGCCTGTCGATCGTCGTATACTTTTCTTCTTCGAATAAATCTCTCTTCCAAGTCATATGAATGCCTCGAAGAAGAGAACAATTGAAAAAGGCAAACATACAATAAATCGACAAGCAAGAGAAAAAATAAAATGTGGAGATGTCGCGTACCTCGCAAGGATAGGTCGAGTATGTTCGCCTAAAGATAATCGAACGAATGAACATTCGACCAATATTTGTGAAACAATGCTTGTTTAGATTGTCCATAACCAGAGGTTCAGGTGTAGATACATGTTATGGGGTCATGAATTATCTAAAGGGGACATATCCCATATGGTTAATTACAATTTGGGGGTTACCCAGTAATACCCTTAATCCAAAGGGGTACTGCTTGCGTGGGAGTGATAATCAGCACGGGGTTATCAAAGGAGGTTATCTCACATGGGGAATGCTCACATGCTTCGAAGCTCTCGTTAAGTCTTTGGGCAAAGAGTGAGCCTCTCACATCCCATGTGGAAAGCAGCTCATCAGCATACGAAGCTTGCAAAATAACCGTATCATCCAAATGGGGGATTCCGATACATCAAAGCACATCCGGGCTATAAGGGCAAATGACAAATTGTCGTATCTCAAATGAGCTGTAGTCCATTGGTAATCAAGTAATCAAGATGATGCGAACAAGGACAAAAGAAGAGATAGGACTCAACAGGGGTAGTCAAAGGAGGGGAGGAGTAATCCTTAAAAGGTAGAGGTAGTGGGTCAGGGAGCCACTGACCCATCATCCCAAGCCACTAAGACCCTAAGTCTACCTAGTCGAGAAGGCAGTCCACCCAACATGCCCTGAGATCCTCGATCAATAATCCATGAACTATGTCACCACGAGAGACCATAGTAGCTCTAAGGTTAAAGGAAGTAAACTCTATCATATGATTATAAGCTGAAACTCCAAGAGGTGAGATTTATACCCGCCATAATAACGAGGATGTTGCAAGAAAGTAACAAAGATGAAGGTTTAACTACAAATTTGGAAATGCTCCGACAAAAAGTCTTACACCTCTTCTAAGTTGGGGAGCCTTCTAACAACTTAGACACACTATACAACCTCCTGTGTAAAAGATACACTGGGTCAGTCGGGTTGAAGAAACAAGAGTTCCTCATTGGGACATGCAAATATGATGCAGTTATCAAGAGCGGTCCCTAGATTTTGTGGAGGCCCTATTAAAATGACTTGGGTGATATACATTCTATGCAACCCATTTTAAAATCGACCTGAAGGCCATATAAAAGTAAAATTAGGATTTGAAAATCATGAATTTCTTAATCTAAAATCTTAATCTATCTTGAATATTTTATCAGAATTTTTATGTATAAAACTTTACAATTTTAAGGTTCTAAAGAGCATAAATTATAATTTTTATTATATCCAAAATCCAAAATGAAAGAAGAAAAACAGTTTACGCATGTAGGCACACATTAGACTGTGAAAGCACTCCTTAAAAAAGTATACAAATGAGGTCAAATGTCGTTGAGACGACAACATATCTCACGAAAAGCTGCGGGACTTCACATAAACATGCTCAATCCTATATCATACAAGAATATATAATTCAAACTTAAGGTACGAGACACGAGCTACCGCTCATGGTCACCGTAAAGTGGTTCGATGCATCACCCGCCTCGAAATTCGTGCCCGTACTTTATTTTAAATACAAACTCATCATGGGGACTCTATCATATACATTTGAAAGAGAAAATAAAAGACTTAGCCTGCATGAAAACATGCGTCAGCTGGGAAAGCCTTGCAACACGTATAATGAGTTGGCGTTATAATTGATGGAACTAAGGGCACCTGCAAGTAAAATGTTAGAAATCGTTACTTGCTCCCCTTTATTGGTACCTGTGAGTGCATATAGAGACACGACTCCCTATAGAAGAATAATCAGACACACTGCCATGCATATCAAACATGCAATCACACAAAAACACAAAGCAAGAAATATGATTGACTAGAGCAGCCAATACATCAAAGAACAATAATCCGACATAAAAAAAGACTACCTTGCAACTTAGATCCTAGCTCAACACACTATCTAACAAAAAGGTGTCCCAACCTAGCACCTAAGTGCACAGGGTAAAGTGTCTGACTATTACACAACTTTGATGAGGTAGCCACACCGGCCCCGTCCTAACTATCCAAGGGATATAAAGCATGTCACGAGAGATGGGTGACATTTAAAAATAAGTGATCTTACATATGACCTAGCTTGTTTAGTTTGAAAAGTATGTGGATAATACTAAATATAAAAATAATCATTTTGTACTTTTAAAATAACAGACTTATAATGCGGGCCCGTGACGTATAAGACTCACCTTAAAGCCCCTGAATCATCAACATAATCATACCTGTGTTAATACTGATGACTTGACTCAAATTGATCATATGGATCAACCCCACAAGCAACACTCACCCAGATATCGCGCCGACATAGGGTCATTGAACTACTGAGCCTAACTCGCTATCAATGCATACATACAAATGCAAATGGAAATACTCATATGACAAATCTAATAAGAATGTCGTGGAGGCAATACTTAAAAATGTGGGTTTATCACAAAGACAATGATCTAAAAAGATGCATGTAAAGGGAGATGCGACAGTTTTCAAAGTAAAAAATCCGCTTTAAAGTTATTACTCAGGGCCCAAGCACAGCGTTAAGATTGCACTATTCCATGTTGGTTCGAAAGTCAATCAGACTCCCGACCCAAAGCGGAACGCAGTACGGTTTCTCTCCAGTTTCCAACCCTCCTAAACCCTGCAGTCCAAAACCCTAATCATGTCCTTTTACCGTCAAACCCTACTCCGATCCCTCCGCTCAGCAGCCGGCGCCGTTATCGGAGGCGTCGAACCTCGCTCTGCAGACCTCAGATTCTTATCCCGATCATTCGCTTTTTCCTCTGCTGAGGAAGCAGCAGCCGAGCGCCGCCGACGTAAGCGCCGCCTCCGCATCGAGCCCCCCCTCCATGCTCTCCGTCGCGACCCCAACATTCCCCGTCCCCCACGTGATCCCAACGCACCCCGGTTACCCGACTCCACCTCCGCACTCGTTGGTCCCCGCCTCTCCCTTCACAATCGCGTGCAAACACTCATCCGATCTGGAGAGCTCGACGCCGCATCCTCTCATGCACGCCATGCTGTCTTCTCTTCTGTCAGACCCACCGTGTTCACATGTAACGCCATCATGGCGTCCATGCACCGCGCCCGCCGCCTAGACGATGCCGTAGCCCTCTTCCACTTCTTTTTCGTTCAGCAGAACATTGTTCCCAACATTGTCTCCTACAACGTTCTTATCAACACCCACTGTGATGCCGGCCGTGTCGACACCGCCCTCGAAGTTTACCGTCATATCCTCGCCAACGCTCCCTTTTCCCCTTCCCCTGTCACTTATCGCCATCTCACAAAGGGCCTGATTGACGCCAGCCGAATCACTGAGGCTATGGATCTACTTCGCGAGATGCTTAACCGTGGTCATGGTGCCGACTCTCTCGTCTACAACAACCTCATGTCCGGCTTCATCAACCTTGGCAATATGGACAAGGCGCTCGAGCTCTTTGACGAGCTCCGTGAGCGGTGCCTCGTTTATGATGGGGTTGTGCATACCACCTTTATGGAAGCTTACTGGAAAGAGGGCAAGGACAAGGAGGCTATGGAGTCCTACCAGTCCCTCATTGATCGCCAGTTCAAGATGACCCCTGCAACATGCAATGTTCTCTTGGAGACCCTTCTAAAGCATGATAAGAAGGCCGATGCCAACAAACTCTTCGAACATATGCTGGATGAGCACAAACCCCCAAATTTCATGGCCCTTAACACGGAAACCTATAATATAATGGTTAATCGTTGCTTCCACGAAGGAAAGTTTGCCGAAGCCATTGAAGTTTTCCACAAGACGGGGTTGAAGCCCTTGGCTATGGACGTTGGTTGCTATAATAACATTATTGGAAAGCTATGCAAGAATGGAATGCTACAGGAGGCAGAGAAGCTATTTGAGGAAATGCGGACCAAGTCCATCAACCCCGATACTTCCACTTATGGATTTTTGGTTGACGCATGCTTTGAGAATGATAGGCTTGAGGATGCCATGGCATATTTTGGCAAGGTGATAGATAGTGGAGAGGGTGCCCCAAAGGCTATCCTTGAACTATACAACAAGGTTTTTGATGGATTGGTGAAGGCTGGACGATTAGGTCAGGCTATGGATATCTTTAGTAAGATGGGGGAGAGCGATTTAAAGCCAAATGCATTAACTTATGAGACTTTGGTCGCTGTTTTATGTAAAGAAGGAGATTTAGACCGTGGAAGGGCTTTGTTAGAAGAGATGTCAAAAGGTGGCATCCGTGCTAGCAGTGAGCTCCTTTCATTTGTATCAGAAATATTTCAGGCGGCAGGACGGGGTGGAGAGATTGAATTTCTTCTAACTGGCAAGAAAGAGCCCATTCCTCAAACCACTTGTGTACAACAAATGGTACCCCATACTGCTTCTGAAGCTTCCATTGATCAGCAGGTAGCTGTGTGATATTGAGTGCTTCATCCTACAAAGTATGTTATTTATGCGAAAAATCTTTGTGATGTTCTGCTTTCAGGGTTGTAGTGCAATTGTTTAGTTTGGCACATAAATTTTTCTCTGGTGCAACTGAGAGCATTAATTTGATACTCTAGATGATCTCTACGAGGAAATACATATCCTATTGTTATGACACGGTTTGGATGAATTATTTGTTCTAATTTTGCCCAGTTCTTTATGGAGCTGAATGTCAGGAGGTCTTGGTCTATGTTATTTGTAGAACTTCACTATTTTTTATATGATAAAATGATATGTTTATTGGATAATGTTTGATTGCTTTTTGAGTTTCTGCACTCTGTAGTGTTTTTCAACTTTGTCAGAGTCTCAGTGGTATTAGTTTTTTAGTCTTTCAGTTTTTTGCTTTACGAATTTTGGTGCACTAATATGTTCAAATTAATGTTTTTATTTTATGTGAAAATTTGATCATGGTATATCTTACTGATTAATTGTTTCCATCTCATTTTAGAGACTGCATTATTAGTTTGGTAGAATTCATCACCTTGCACGACTGTTTATAAGTATCAGTGCATCATATAATGTCTTGCTCGCCACCTTGCCATGGCATAGTTCTCATATGCTCTGTATCTTCGTAATTCAGACATCTAGATGTGTTATAGGACACTGTTTCAGCTTGCGTTTGTTGCTTAAAGTTTTGTGCAGTTTTTACATCAAACGTGACGAAGACATGTTTTCTGAGTAAACATGACACACCGAAAAACGTAATATGGACCAAATGTATCATTATCTGCCAACCGGCACATCTCTTTTTCTTAAGTTTGATTGTGCTTGGTTTTTTTTTTTGTATCCTATCATGTGTCATTTCTTAAGTTTGATTGTGCTTGGTTTTTTTTTTTGTATCCTATCATGTGTCAGGAAGTCTCAAATAGGATTATTAACTGGAGAAATTCATCTATAGTTTATGGGATTGACTTTTATTTATTATCTAGTTTACTGACTATCTAAATGCAAAATTCAAAATTTATGAACTAATTGTGATATCAAGTATATACTTTATCTTCTTCTTACTTCTTACATGAACGCCTTATGGCACTATCCCCACCGTCTATCCATTGTATGCGCACACATACTTGTAAAGTCCCTTTTTGCCATTTTTCATCTCTAATTTTGTCATTGGAAGTATCTAGTTGTTATGCTTCTTACATGGTATTATTGTTTTATGGTAGTTGTACAAAATAAAACGTTGAAAAAACTTCTCAAGAATCTCATTCACACCTTTATGCATGAGGGGAGGTATATATACAACTCACAAAGGCATTATAAAATAGGAATAAATAAAAAATGAGGGAAAAATAATTAGGTGTTGATGATCCCGAAGGAAAGCACACGGATTACAGTATGAGGGTCGTAAAGAATCATATCCAATGGCATAGAGCATCGATCCACGTGCCTTAAGTTCTTTACTATCTGATAGTCATAATTACACATACACAACAATACAAAGCTTCGATCGGTTTACTTTCAGTTCTCTGCTATGATTGGAGCATAATTTCAACAGTAGATAATAACCCGATGTCGGGAGATAAAAAGCTGATGTAGAGAATTGAAGAGATGTATATACAATATTAGGAAAAAAAATTATGATTAAAAATAAATTCTGGTCAACTCATGAATCTTACACAAATTCGCTTGTTAGGAGTGCTACATATGGTTTCCATAGAATTTATGGGTATTTTATTTGATTTTGCCGTTTTTCTTCTTGTTCTGTTAAAACCTCTCAACATAGTGAATGCTTCTGGTTTAGCCTTAATGCTGCCTTAGGTCAAACATCAGGCACATAGCTCTAGATTGGTCCCTTCTATGAGAATATTTTTCTGTTAGACATTTCATCCAACCGTCTTTCTACTGGCTCCGGATCAGGGATTTCATTTTAGAAAAGAACATTCTTGTAGGAAAATATTTACCATTCCAGGTGTTTTTAGGATCTGTATTTGAACATATTGGTCTTCATACTCATCAAAAGCTTAGCTGAACCATCCAATTCCTTCACAATGGTTATTTTTTTGCCTTCCCTCGACTCAAGGATAATTATTATTCTATTTATTTGATTTGTTGATTTGTTATAAGGCTGTTTCTAATTTATTTATAATGTGTTTTCTTCTGTTATTAAAGGCAGGAAGAGCCTATAAGCCTTGTGTAACTGATTTATAAATCAAATGGAGTAGATTCAATTTGCCATAGACCTCTCTCACTCTCTATACAATTGGCGCACCTTCTCTAAGTGTACTAACCAGCATCTCTATTCTATTTTTTTTTTATTCGGATGGAACAGGGTTGATGAAAGTGGAATCAAGGAGTACTCTAGGGAGATTCAATTCAGTTTCATGCACGCATTTTCATTTACAAAAAATGAGGGTAACATTATCCTAAAACTTTGATTCAAATCCGACTACTAATTTTTTAGCTTGGTCAAATCTTATATTTTCTAAGTTTAGTCTGGTGAAAGTTTGATGAGGGATTTCATCTAGGCTTAGAGAAGGCATTGCATTCTATCTTAACTCTGATGTATTTACATATCTAACAACACCCAAGTTTAAATTTTTTATGCACGTGCCACCTTACCTATGAATAAAAATGTGTATTTTCCTTTTTTTAAGTTTAAATGGGGGTATTTTTAATATGTTATTAAAGATTTCGATGACATTAATGTAAAAAGTAAATTATTAGTGTTAGATATGTGAATACATAGGAATTAGGTGTCATGCATCTAAGTGCCTATAAAATATAAAAATCAAAAGGAAAAAAAAAAAAAGGAAAAAAAGAAAAACCAAAGCCAAGCAATAGGGCACTTGAAGTTGTGCTGGGGCGGGCCGGTTGATTTGGTGGCAGTAGTATTACGTGCAGTGTGAAGAGCAATGGGAAGATGGGAACCTGAAATTGGAGAAATTATTGTGTCCAGGCTACTCAACTGACGCCATACACTTTGTTGTGGGAGTTTTTTTTACTTTTTTTCTCCCTGGCGAAGATGAATCGCGTCCGCTTTCTGGACACAGAGCTGCATGCGGACTCCGGACACAATAATTTTTATCTGAAATTGGCTGTTAAACCTGACTGGGTTAGGTAGGTATTACACAGCATTGTTTGCTAAAGTTGGATGTCCAGATAATGGATATGCTGTTAAATAACTTTAATGCCACTGCTATGAGCAATTGCCCCAAAAATACTGAAGAAAAAGAGGGAAAAAATCTTTTTTTTATGTTCACCAAGTAGTTTTTTTTGATAAATTCTTTCAGTGTATTTACAAATAAGGTTGGCTGATTTAGGGGTTGTATGTATATAGAATTATGTGGGCTTAGTTGTCAATTTTCATTTGAATCTTCAAATCATATTTATCAGATAGCTTCAAAATTTTTTTGAAAATATGGCCAATGAATAATTCAGAATGTGTATCATAGAAACTCTGTCATTTATTTAAAAATAATGCATTTATATATATAGAACATATTGATGAAATTTGTTAGCAAAGTGAATATTTGATATACTTTTTCAAAAATATACAAATTTAATATGCAAATCAGTTCCAATAAGAATTTTTTTTAATCTTTATAATTCCAACAAAATAAATAGTAATAGACTTAAAATATCATATATAATATTGTATAATAGGTGAAGATTTATAGATCATAAATTAAATTAATTTTAAAAATAATTAAAAATTTCACAAAGAAATCAACCATAAAATTTTTTTTTTAAATCATATAAAATAAGTAAAATTAGAAAACATATATAAATATGACTAAATCTAAATCAAATCTTTATATATGAAAAACTATAACAATCATTATAACTCACCTTTCTTCTTCCATTTTAGAGGATATGATGAATGATGACCAAAATTGATGCATTGAATTGTAATAAACACCATAAGATTTATAAGAGAAAAAAGGGGGGCCATGAGTGAACCAAATCTTAAGTTGAAGTGAGAGTAGATTTGAGTAAGCCATATTGAGGTTTTATTGGGTTCTTAAGGGTTCTCTGAGGGTAAATATGGCTTAGGGATGCGTGAGAATAGTCCTTTTGCTTAAAGTTATGTTTAAAATGTGGCCTGTTGAGATTTTTTTCCTAGCATTTTAATAGGCTTAAATCCACCTACTAGTTTGAGTTGATATGACAAATCCCTCATGGGACCTAGTCCTAATTAGGTCAAGCCTAGGAAAAGGGCAATTACACCAAAATTAAGAGTAATGTGTAGGTGCCTAAGGTTGTGCTAGAGTTTATAAACCTATGTTGGCCAAGTAAAGGTTTACAATAATGTTGGTACATTCTAAATGAAGTTACTGAAGTCGAGCTGATGTAAACTCAGTTTTTATTTACTATGAACCATTTGAGGGTCTTATGTATTTAACAAATTGATTGAAGAACTAGGGTTGGGATAACTTGATTAAGTATTTTTTTCTTTATATTCTTCGTGGTATAAATCAACCAATTATTTGTATTTGTTCTTGTAATTATGTCTCTATTAGTGACGGAGGTACCTGTGACATCTTTTTTAATAGGGTGCTTCTCTCGTTCTTTATTTAGTAAACTTAGTATACTTCAGGCTTGATAAATGCTTTGATTAGTTTCTTTTATGTTTTGAAAATATTCTTGATACACCATTTGAGCTAAGATAACGATTTTACTAGATGAGTGCGAGTATTTTAGTCGATTGTAATTTATGTGCATTCACCATTGGTTAATTTGTCTTTTGAAGCTTTAATAAAGCTTTTTTTTTATCTTTTTATGACACCATGATATTGAAAGGTTGCTAGTTTACACATTTATTATAGAAGGACATTTCTTGGGACTATAAGTGTTCTCACTTTTTTTATTGCCTTGCAACTCTATATGTACAACTCCTATTGAAATTTTAGATTTACTTGGTAATGTATAAGCTATTAAGCTCATTGTAGCCATTGGTGTCATTTCCAAACCGACGTTAATTTGAGATATGAATTTAAAAGGTTTGTGTTGGTTTTTGGACCTTGCCTTATGAGACATCTTATACCAAACACTTTTATGTGATATAAGTCCCTTAACATTTGCGAGGTTGCACGAGAAGAAGAAATCTGTTAGTATCTGTGTTATTACGATGGATGCCCGCTCTTCTTTAGACTTGGTCATTTTGATCATTTTCAAAGCTTCGTCTTTCTTCTTATCTTTTGCTCCATTAGTTATGTTCTCCCTTCTTGGGCCTATAAATTAGCTCGATCGAGCTTGCTATATTCAAGTGAAATATGCTAAATATATGCTTAATCGTCTTCTATATCTTAATTGAATAGTAGATTTACCATCCATTAGTTATAATTTCTAATTTATCCTTTTTATGTTTACAAGAAAATAGAGTTGGATGTATATGAAAAAAAAATATTTTTCTATATGATATTTAAAAACACAGCATTCTTTAAGCTAGCAAAACTTTTGAAGATCTTCCAAATTTGAGCACTAAAAGGATAAATCAAATAATTACCAAATTCATTATCATTTTCTTAATTCAAATTTTCTTTTGTGAGAAGTATTATTAAATTATTTTATTTAAAAATGATGAAAACTTCTTAGCCTGATTTTTTCCATTGATTCAAAACTCTCATTGTGTTACTCAAAATAGTTAAATTTATAAATAAATTTAATTTAGGAGAAATAGATATATTTTGAGAAATTTATTTAAATACCACACATTTATTATGTATACATACATATATATAGTATTAAAAATTTAAATATTTATATTTATTACATTTTGATATCATTAATTTATACATATCAATGCACATTTTGTTTCAAGAAAGTTATTAATGATAGTATTATTGATAGAATATTAAAAGATTTGATTTTTATATATGTAAATATAATAGTTTAGACATTAAATAAATACACACACAAGTAAAATTATAAATGCACCCTTTCGAGGTATAAGTGAGTCTAGCCGACTTGCAAACCGGCTCGAGTTTGGCTTGATATGGGACTCATGAACTGAGCTTGATGACCTAGCAAACTAAGCTCAGACTAGTCTCCACTCGACTCATTAGCTAGTGAGCTGACTCATTTAAATAATATAAATATAAAATATATTCAAAATATATTAAATTTGGACTCTTTATCTTTAAAATGTTAAAAATTAAATTTTAAATTTTATATTAAGTTATTTTTAGTAATTTTCTCGTAATTATTTATTTTATTATTATTATTTGCAATATTATCTTAAATTATGTTCTTTTAATAAGCTAGTTTTGTCCTCACTAGGGCTGTTAAAATGGCTTGTTGTTCACGACAACACGTATTGGGCTCTTCAAGATGCTTGTGTTTGATACGCTTGCTAAATAAACGAGCCAAACACGGACAATTTTTTTGAGCTTCATACATAAACGAGTCGAACATAAATAAAATTTTGTTCGTCCGTGTTCAGCTTATAAGCAATAGAGCTAAACATGAAAATTTTTTTGAGCTGATATATAAACAACCGAACCTGAACCATGATAATTTTTAAGGAGGCCGGCCGCTAAGGCAGTGTTGGGCTAATTTACACTTCTAGACCACACGTATCTTATCTTCCCAAGTAGGAAACGAAGAGCAACAGCGGACGCGAGTGCATTCGTCAAAATCAGCTCATAGATTAGTTTCAGTTCCGCCGTATTCATTCCCTGTTCTTCCCCGGCAGCCGTTTGTCGCTCGTTCACCTCTCATTCTCTCCCGTCCTGCAAGCGAGGGTTGGGTTACGCAGCTTCTGTTATCGCCTCTCACGCCGCAGTTAGCGCCGCCATGTCGTCTGGAAATAATGGTTTTCTTCTTTCTTAATCTTCTTTACTGATTGCGAATTCTTTGTTAGATTCGTTGGGATGATTTAATGGATTCAATGTATGTTAAATGTATCCTTGATCTCGGGAATAAGGTACAAGTATGCTCAGAAGACATTTGTTTCATTCAGTTCTATGGCGTAGTTTAATAAATTGATTTTGATCTAATTACTCTTACTTGTTTATTCAGCGCAGAAGCTCTTTTGTTAATCTGATTAATTACTCTTAATCGCGTAGGACCTCGCATAAAGCCTGGATTATCTAAATCGCTTAGTTGAGTGCGAATGAGAAGGGGATTAATGAGTTTTTTTGAGTCTCATTTGTTAACTTTTTCTGAAATTAAACCATAATTGAAATATAATTATTTAAATTTAAGACTTCTTAGCCATGTTTTTTATACCAAACCGTTCATTCTTAATTTATCCAATTTAAATTTAAATCGTCTTATTAAATTATCTGATTAAATTTTAATTCATTTGGCTGGGCATAGCCCTCACACTTTTTTTAAAAAAAAAGTGTCATTGGACACCAATCAGGTTAATAGCTCAACTATTCATTTGAAGGTTAATTTTCCAAAAAATTGTTAATTAAAATTTATTTATGTAGCCTAATTATTGTAACTGTTAATTACTCTATAATAATTATTAAGATCTAATCAGCCTAATTATTTAAACCCAAAAGATATCTAATATGTCCAATTAAGCACTCTTCAGCCTAATTTTTAGTTGGCTTCATCCTTAGTTGATTCAGGAATTAATTAACATCTAATTAATTACTATTTATTTATATTACTTTTAACAACCAAAAGATTAACTAATTAGGTGCAAGAGATATGATGGAAGCCAATGCTTTATTTTCACCTTCTCAAAATCTTTGACACTCTATTGTAGGAGGGTTCTCTTGTCGGTCTAGGCCATGGAGGAAGCACACTAAGTTAGAATTCTATGGGTTTCAACACTTCTTTTCTACATATAGCAATTTTCTTGGAATTGTCATAGGAACATTCACCATCCATTGTATAAAGCATTGCAATAGTATGAAGGCCTATACTGGGTTAGATCAATGTTGAGCTATGCTACATAAGGGTCTATTTGGTGTAGCTTTCTTACTGCCATGCTTTACTTGATCAAAATCATATTTAGCTATGATTTTCCTCTTGCTTTTCAAAAATGTTTTTATTTAGAAGTAATATTTTATGACCAAAGATATGAGAGTGTGGTTTTTCTAAGACGGCTATTATGTGACTTTTTCAAGAGTAAAAGTTCATAATGCAAACACTTGTTTTTAAATTTTTTTTCCTTCATCAGTTCGTCAACTTTAACAAACAACTTCTTTCACCTCAAACAAGTCTTCTGATGAAGGTAAGAAAAGGCTTACTAGGATTTGAATCCAGAGCAGCGCCATGTAGATAGGAAGGGCATGAACAAGTGAAGTGTGTTTGAGATGAATAGTTATTGTTGGCTTGCTAATTGGCGAAGCATTAATATGTTTGAATCTCGCCCAAGAGAGCATAATATTTTCATGGGGTTGAAAAGCATTAAATTCATCATCACTAAACTGGAGAAATATGATATTTTTGGATTAATTTGGCCAAACAGAAATAATAGTGGACTATTTTGGGATTCAATCTATTAAAATGATGAAAAGTTAAGTGTACTCTTTGCAAAATGGTGAGTTGCCATCCATTGAACAGAAATTTTCCTCTTATGTTCCTTATATTTTTAAGTATGGATTTTGTGTTCTTAACGCATTGCTTTTCTTTAAAATTGATTAGTTAGCTAAATGCATATTCTGTAACTATGCAGTTTTCCATTTATTTACTTGAAATTTTTCTGAAGTGCCTGGTTTCCATCTTTCTTGTTTTTATTTGTAAGAACGTCTTTTTTTTAGGTGAGAAGCCATCTTCAAAAGAGAAAAAGAGCTCAAATGCAGGAGCATCTACTGGTGGTGGAAGGGCTGCTGCACCTGGAACAGCTTTTTCTGGAAATCCTTTTGATTTTTCTACTATTACAGAGCTTCTTAATGTACTCCTCTTTTCTTAAATTCAATCTCTTCGTTACCTTTGAAATTTTTTGTTCTGGTGCCAAGTTATATATACCTGTATTTTAATCCGAAGAAACAATGGGATTTTGACTATTGGTAGAAGCAAGAAAATAAACTAACAACGGCATATGGGATACTAGAATTTTTTGGTTTAATTGCATATGAAAGTGATATACTATTATGCTGGTCATGTCCAATGCATCTTCTTATCATTTGATTATAGATACATGTTTTAGAAAGTAATACATTCCATTCATGATTGCAACAATATTGCTTTGCCTTCTCTTAAACTCGTTTTATGATTCAATGAGTGGTTAGTTCCTTTGATAAAGGTGTACTTGTACATTACATTTTCCTTGACACATGGCTACTATTCTATGATGCACGAACACTTTTGACTAAAGAGCCGTGCGGCGTCTGATACTTCTTGGACACGAACACTCGCGCGACCGCTGGACAGGTGTCAGACAAGTCTCTGGCATGCTCTATTTAAAGATTATTTAAATAAAAGCGACACTTGTTTGGCATACAAGTTTTAAATTAGTAATTAAATTAGTGAATTAAAAAATATTTTTTAAACATCTTTGATATACTTTTATAAGTAAATTTTTTAAAAAAATTATTTTTTTATTTAAAAATTAAACCTATATGTTCAACTTATTCGCCGATTTCTTTTCTTGCAGACGAGCTCGATTAGTTCGTCAATCGCTCGCCTGAAATGGTATTTTTGGTTATGGTCATCTTAGTTTTTAAAATATAATGCTATAATTTTTTTTTTGTATTTTTATCATAATGATTGTGTGTTTGTGTCTTATATTTTTAATAATAGAAGTGTGGTGTCCGTGTCCCTGTGTTTATATCCGTGCAATATAAGGCTACATTTTAGGGTCATGAGGGCCTTTTTGTCTCTCATGTTAGGTAAGTGTTGTAATGTGGTGTTGTTGATGATGGGGAGTTTATGAGAGAAAGGTCAATGGAACCACCTTATGACTCATTTAATTATCTTTAACACTTCTGGATCTTTTTTTCTTCTTTTTTGTTGTGGCTTTTAGTTTATTTTTTTCTCACTTTGATGAATAATTTTTTTTTAATCTTTTTTCTTATTTTTCTTGTATTTTTTATGCTTTGTTATGCAACATTTGTTTTGATCTAGGGCACAAACTGGTTTGGTGATCAAATTTGCCAAGGGAACATTATGCTATTTTCTTAAGAGTCTGTGTGGGGCAACTTTTTTGTCTGTTTTACGTTTCAGACCGCCACCACAACTCTGTTTGAAGAATAACTTTTTTTTTTCTAGAAATTTTGTGGAGGGAAATTAGTTTTTTTAACCCAAGTTTTTGAAGTATGGAGGCCTTAAGAAAGATGTATGATTTTCTGGAAAAAAAAAATGTATAGTTATAATTTTTACCACTACTTTCTAAGAAGTTGTCTTTCCCACCACAACTTTACAACCATCTTTCCAAAATAAAGTATTGAGTGTTTCAGAGATGCAGAATTTAGAATTAATTGAAAATCTTATCTTTAAATCAGCTTGTAAAGCTACCTGGTGAAGCTATCCTATTGCTAGTATGATATACTTAATTGGACATGCTTTTGATGGTCCAAATTCCCCTACCATGTCACAATTTAGATATAATTATAGTGGACCTTTTTCTTATTCTTTCTCTTGCAGTGCATATGCATGATGTTTTTTTTCTCATTATTATGTGTCATAATCTACTTTCTTTAGAAAGATTTCAAACAATCTGTTTGGCTTATTTTTTATGATATGATGAATACAGGATCCAAGCATAAAAGACCTAGCATCACAAATAGCAACTGATCCTGTATTTACTCAGATGGCCGAGCAACTTCAGAAAAGTGTTGCTATAGCTGGAGAAGGCGGTGTTCCTCCGTTAGATTCACAACAATATATGACTACCATGCAGCAAGTGATGCAGAACCCTCAGTTTATGACCATGGCTGAACGCCTTGGAAACGCCTTGATGCAGGTTGAAGTGACTATTATGCCTGAATATTAGACGAGCTTTTAACGCTGGTTATGAAATAAAGAAATTGAAATATGTCCATGCAGGATCCTTCCATGTCTTCTATGCTTGACAATCTGACTAATCCTGCTCATAAGGAGCAAATGGAAGAACGTATGTCACGAATAAGAGAAGATCCGTCATTGAAGCCAATCCTTGATGAGATAGAAGTTGGAGGTCCAGCCACAATGATGAAGTACTTGATAAGATTCTGCATTTTATCTGTTAATTAATTTCATCATTAGCATTATTCTAATTTTTGGGGTTCCAATTTATCAATCATTATTTTTCATTCTTTTTTTAGTGCTACTTAATGTGTTAATTTTATGTAAGGCTAGGCTTTCCCTAGTTTTAGCTATGCCATTTTTCTTCTACCTTATTATATTAATTCTTTGGTATTAATTGCGCTCAACACACCTGATAGTTGGATATTCTCCTTCCAATATAAAAGCCTAAACCTTTCAGGGCAGCTTCTTGCAAGCTTATTTTTATGGTGGCTACTCATAATCGTTGTACTTATCTTGTTTTCATGGCGCTACTCATAGTTTTTGAATTATACTTATTTTTGGCTCAATTCTTTCTATTTTTAGGAGGAAAACATCTTAATACTCATTTTTTCTATTCATTTTTATTTATCAATGAATTCATTGGTTCTTTACATGCTGACCTTTTATTATCACCAGTGTTATTGTTGTTTTATATGATCTAATACAACTCCTTGTTTTGTTTAATAATATTTTATTATTGATTTGCCATTTTAACCACCCTTATTTTAACTTAGAATTTGGAGCGCATCAATATCCCCATTATATATATATTTGACCCATAATACTTATAGATGTAACACATGTTTCATTTTCTACTAGATTAATTGATAATTATATATTATTATTATTATTATTATTAATTTCACGTCTACTTGAATTATGTACCAGTTATTTAGCCCATTTAACTAATTGAATCTTTCTCATCTTCAGTTTTTTCTTCTTACTTTTAACATTAAATGAGGAACTAACTATTAGAAGTCTCATTTGCAAATAACATAAAAAAATCTCAAAACAATTATATTGTGTAACTTCATAGGCAATAAAAATAGTTCTAAGATATAACAGTAATGTTGATTTCTATTGTAATCTTACACGATCAAGAGTTATTTGTTCGCTACAACTACTTCTGAAGCCTGTTATTTTTTCATTTGGCATATCTTTACACTTTAGGAGCTTCAGCATATGCTTGCACACTCATTTTTCTTTTTCTTTCTAGTAACCCACTTAAATCAATTATTTTTTAGTACTCAAATCACAAGTAGATAATTTTGTTGTTTCTATGCTTTTATACTAATTGTTTTTTTTTGAAGTCCCAGTAGTAGTGGATCTTCTTAGCCAAAAACAAAGTTGTGTGTTTCGTCATTGATGTGGCTTATATTTTTGTTATACTACTGTCTCATAACGATTATTGAAATAATGTTAAATCTTTGGTCAGCATTTTTCTATCTACATTAATCTAGCAAAATGTGGACAACTTCTATCTGTCTATAACAATTCAACAATATGCGGGCATATTTTTCTTCTGTATTAATGTAATGGTTTGTGTACAATAGCTTTCCATCAACAAGATATTTGAAATTTGTGTGCATCATTTTATTTTTGTTGCGCAGTTAGTTTTAATTTCATAATTAGTTTCTAGATTTCTTTCTGTTTTAGATAATTGTTTCTTTACCTATTTATTTGTAATCTATTTTGAATGACTAAGGGAATAAAATTATGCCGTCTTCTTTTTACTCATCTTGATTTTTATTGTAATTTTTAAGATATCAGGGTTATCAAATTTCTACTCCTCCTGAGGCTGATGAGTTTTTCAACATGGAGTCTCTTCTTTTTCTTATGGGTTTTTAATCAACTCTGATAACCAATCTTTTCCCTCGAAGAGTAGCAAGAATATATGTGAAGAAGCCAGTGGTCAACTCCGACATTGGAAATTAAGCTCAAAGTGAAAATGCTTCATGAAGAGTATTGGATTGAAATTCTTTTAAGAGATCCAACAACAAAGAAAATTAATTATAGATCTCTCCATTCTATTTTAGCTTTTCAGCCATATAGACAACAAATAGAGGACAATCAACTATTCTCTTAATAGAAACTTAATTTGGAACATCACCGAAATAATCTTGATTTTGCTAAAGTTTTAGCTTTTAGATGTCCTCATTGCAAATAAGAAGAATATTTATGCTTCGACAGTAGATGCGGCAGTGTCAAATCATATAGTGTGAGACAAAAAATGTCTTCCACTGTTGCGGCCTATCATGAAAGTTATAATATTCAGATTAAAGATGGGTCACTATCAAAACTGGCTGGAAAAGTTTTTATTCCCTAAAAAAATCTGATACTTAACTTTGTGCTTTTAGTATCTAACCTAGATTGCAATTTATTGTCTAGTCTAGATTGAAATTTATTATCTAGTTGCAGAGTCGCATGGGACAATTATTTTTGTAAATTTCTATGTATATTTTTTCATTTAAGTTCTGGAACATAACGAAGATACTGTTAGTCTGGCAAATTGTTAGGACTACTTGAGTTAGTTTTAAGAATTGTTGCCTACATCAGATAATTATCCATCATAGGTCCTGTGTCAGCCCCCTCAATCTTTAAAATTGAGTGGCTGAAAGGAAATAAACATTTCTTAGAGGCTGCTTGATTACAAATGTTTCCCATGAGTGCACAGGGAAGTCGTTTTGACAGCTACATATCTTAATAATAGAATATCTACAGAAGTACTTGCATTTTAAACTCCTGTTCAATCCATTTTCTATTTATTTGCTAAGGCCAAAATATTTTATTTTGCTCCCTTCGAAATTGTTGTTTAGTTTTCATTCACATTTATTTATCAAAAGTTGTTTAGTTTTCATTCACATTTATATATCAAGAGCATTTTTATTGGATATTTTCTAAATAAAAATAGTCCAACTACTATTCCTTTTGAACATCAATCTTTACCACTGTAAACATGAAATTTAGAAGAATTTCATGAACAAAAGTTTCAAGGCGTGAACTATTTAATTATCCACCATCATCTAATCAAAATTATGGGTATGAACATCTACCTTATCATCCTGTCAGGACACTCAGCCTATTAAAGCCTATTTAGAACCTCAAACTTTCTCATCATCTTTTTAGTACACCCAACCTAGGTAAAATGAACTTGATTCCTATACTGGAAGGTTAAGAAAGTTCAAGTTGAGACACAATAAACATATCTCCAACATTTCCAAGAATTTAAACCTGGTTTGAATTTAAGTGAAATGTAAAGTGATGGGAATCAATTCATAAGTGACTTGGATACCTATTTTCACCAGCTCTTGCCACAAGGAAAGGGGTGACATTATTCTCTGAACGCCCAATTTCTGATGTCACCTCTTAACTCGCTTAAAATTTGTTAATTCTTTTTATAAAATACAAAATCCAAATATCTATCTCGATGCCCCAAAATCCTAGAATAGAAGAAAGTCGAAATCAAAGAAATCCATGCTTTAGAAAATACTGGTACGCGGTATGGGTGTCAAAAACTGACTTAACTCGAAACTCAAATTAATTTTCTAAAGCTTGGATTTCTTCCATTTTAGGTCAGCTTTAGGTCAATTTTAAGCTGTTAAATTTTTAGGTTGAATTCAAGTTGACCTGCAAGTTCAGATTTGACTCAAATTTAACTTGAACTTGATCTGAAAACCCAAAATTGTCCTGCATGAATATCATGCTATTTTGTACAGGTTAATTGGGTTTCGTTCGGTAGGGTTGAAACCAAGTCAGTTTCGATTTGAATCTTTTGATTCATTTGATTTGGATCTGTCACTCAACTTTTTGATGATTTGAAAATATGAAAATAATTTTGAAATTTAATTTAATATAAGAGGTATATAATTTGAGTTCTGAAAGTAGTATGTTTTAATTTTCGAAAAATGAGACCAAATGAATCTCATTCGTCTAATAGTTTGCATAATCGTGTTCGATACCGTGAATACTACACCTTCCGGAAAGATAAGTGTTGACCTCGGCGATAGATTTAATCCTGTAAACTAAGAGATTTGTCCGTTTGGTCTGTGAACCTTTTATGTGATCGACAAATTCCCCTTATCTAATACAAAGATTAAATAGAGTTTCTTTTATCTGGGTTCCAAGTTCTCTATAGAGACAAATCCCTATAGTTAATTACATCACAAATGATTGGGGTCACTTGAGAAAACTCTCGATAATGATCAGAGGTACTAGTCTTTAAGATTTAAAAGTTTAGGTTTTCACGGTAGGACGTGGAAAGACAAGTGGGAGTGACTCAAATAGGAAAAAATATTTTAGGAGTCCAAAGGAAGGAACATGTAGGGGATGTTACAGATTCTGAGGAGAAACCTCAGTGACTTCCCAGACTATCCTATTATGTGGTTGTGTTTTGGAGAAGATGTTATTTGAGTGTTCAATCCTGTCAATTTTATTATTTGTGACTTACACTTGCATAATGAGTGATTATGAAAATAACCCGCAAAGAGATGAGGGTTTACGTCGTAATGAACGACATCCTCAGAACCTAAAATGAATTAGGACTTACGCTGCTCAACATAGTTGTGCAGGAGCCTAAAAAGGGATGAGGACTTATGTCGCGTTAGACGAGCTACCTCGAAGTCCTATAGGTTGTTAATTAGACTAAGGAGAGAGATTGTTGAAGAAGTTACTCTTGTCGCTCGATCCAAGTTCCTCGCCGTGCTGCCCACAAAGCTGACTCCAAGCTCCTGTTGTAGCGATAGCTCTAGGGTTTAAGTGTTTGAGATTGGGGTTTATGTTTCACAGTTTTGGTATCAAAGTTTGGTTTTGTTTTGTTTCGGTTTTGGTTTCAGTTCTGGGCATCTGCTACTGTTGTGTTATTAGTATTGCGAACATAGTATGATTTGCAACAGATTTAAATAAGCTTGCAAGAAAAATAAACGAGACGAGAAAACCCAACTCGAAAGTCAAAAACACGAGTCGTAAAAATCACAAGCAACGAAAGACCAGGACTAGGTATAAGACATTGGTAAAAGTGGGGGGCTCAGAGCTATACTGTGTGCTTCCTGATCTTGAACAAGAGTTATCAGTCCGACAATCTACCGAAGACAATCCTTAACCTCTATTCAAGTGATTAGCCGTGGACCTTTATAAATTTTCATAGAAAAATTCTTTTATTTTCATGCATAAGCTGTTATTTAAGTCTTTTATGCGGAGTTCTTTTTAACATGCAAAATAAATTTTTATGTTTACTTTTGTAAATATTTTGTAAAGTCGTCTAGTCTACAGGCTAGTTATTCTAATCGTGCTAGAATTACTGACAACTTAAGGCGTCGGGGGCAATGATCCCACCAAGAATCGATGAATAGTATCATTGATTCTTTCCTCTCATCTATTGAAGATCTTTGAGGTAGGAGATACTATTCTAATAATCTCACTTCGTATCCCTCGTTTAAGCACACATAAGCAATGTCGTCATCGCTCTAGCCACCTATACCCTAGACTTATCCTAGTCCAGTGATCCATATGTGACATTAACAAATGTCCCAATTGCAAGGAGGATTTGAATGTATGTTCAAGCTCAAATCCCGGTGCATTGGGTTTCACTATAAGTTGTCATGACGGGAATTTCACTATTGATTTAATTAAGGAAGCATGAACTACGTTTCGGTGCATTCTCATGTCTAGTGTCTTAATCAGTTTGTGAATCAGAGTCAAGTGTCTAACTTCATCATTCATTCGAAAATTAGGTAAACGAACGCTCACCTAGGGTGTGCTCTTAAAATCTAGGAAGCTTGCACTAAAAATTAGGTAGATGAACTCTCATCTATGGTGTGCTCTTAAAATCCCAACCCAAATTCTTATATAAACTATCCATCCATTCATAGTTAAATCTTGGCTCATTTACACCCCTTTTCTAGACATGGTTATCCACAACTATAGCTAGTTTTTAATTTACCAAGTATAGTTTATAATCATCAACACTAGTTGGCAGTTGGCACTAGAGAAGGAGAGATAAACTATTAAATAGGATTTATATAAGTATTATTTAAATTAGCAGAAAAAAAGATTTTTTAGCTTTAATTATTGAATATCGTAATGTTTTTTTTTTCAATCTTTAAAGTATGTTTCATTAACTTAATTTTTGTATATCATTCATTGATCAGTGTTTTGTTTATGTATGATTTATTTCTAGTTTTTAATTGAACCTCAATGATAATATTCATAAGCCTACCAACTTTTTTTAAGCCTGTATTTGTTTATATTTGAATATTTATTGTTTTATAGACAATTTGTTTTGAACGGCTGTAAACTTATCAGCTTTTTAGTCCTACTCTCTTATTGTAAGGGAATTATTTACATTTATTATTATTTTGAAGTTATGATATATACTTGCTATTTAAAAGCTCTTTTAAAATCATTTTAATAGGACGACGACAACAACAACAACAAACACTTTTTCACACTAAGTGGGGCCGGTTACATGAATCTTTTTTTCCCTTGCATCCTATTGAGTGTCATATTTTCATTTAATTCTAATAAATTGAGATTATCTTTTATACAATATGCCAAAGTCTTTTTAGGTCTACTTCTACCTTCTTAACCTAAGTTGAATCTAAAACATCTACGCTCTTAATCCGATCGTCTTTTAAAATCATCTTAAAAGCACAAAAGAAAATATTTTGTTCTAAATGGAAAGGTGTATTTATGATTTTTTAGCCCCACCTTTTAAAGTTATTATGTCTCTTATTTATATTTCACAGTACGTAGTAGTAAACTATTTGTATCTTTCATGAATAGCAAAATATAAATGAATATTCATTGAAATCTAGAACTTCACATAATTTTCTTTAAATTTAACTCAACTGATCCTTTTTGGAGCTATTCCCAATATATTTCCTTATCATATTCATTTTACTCTTTTAAAGTAATTTTAAACGCTCTTATTTAAAGTTTCTTAAATAGCATTTACATCTTCTCTTTTAGTCTTTATCCTAATGATGACCATATTGCTCTTTTCTTAGTACATTAATATTAACGTAACTTCTAGACCCACTTTCTCTTGCTATGGCTTTTGTGTGAGATATTTTTTCATTTTGTTTGATACTATTGTTTTTTAGAATCATCAAATTTGTAAGAACTGAAAGGAGAAACAAACCTATGAAATAGTCTTCTTATAAGTATTATGAGAATGATTAGAACAAATGCTTTAACTTTATAACAATTATATATGTTAATAGAGTTATTCTTTGCAGTTTTAAAGTATGTTTTATTGCTTTAGCTTTTTCCGTACCTTCTTTCTACATTGGCAAGCCCTTTTATATTATGTATGAACTATGACCAATTTCTTGTATCTCTTAGAATTTCATTGATAATATTCCTAATACAACTTGCCAATTTTATTAGCATTTTGTTTTAGTTCTTTTCAAATTTCTATTTGACTTTGACATTCTAATTTGGAAGTTTAACTAATTTTTATTTAAGATCTATCAACTCATATCAGGTGAATTTATTGTTTTTATGCTTAGGATAAACATTTATTTCTACCATTCTGTATTATGCAGTTAAACTCTCTTAAAAGCATCCGGCAATCTTTGCAAAAAAGTTCTTTATTTCTATCTAAATAGAAAATTTGCATCTATGATATCTTAGCTTCACTTTTGAACTTAATACAGTGGTATTCTCTTTCTCTCTCTCTCTTTATAAATAAGAGTTTTTTGTAGTATTATGTATTAATTAAAATAAGTTTTTACTTTATTGATAATTTGTTCTTCTTTTTGCCACAACTCAGATTCTCTTTTCTAATTGTCTTTAAACCATCCACTGCCATCCTTATTATTTTGTTGTTAGTCTTTATCACGCATATCCACTTATAATATTGAACAATGTATTTTAATTTTCTAATTGTCTCTTTTAAATACGTGATTTCCCATTTTCTTTTTCTTCTAACTGTTTAAAGTCCTGAAATATCTTAAAACGATCATAATCTCATTTTGAGCCTGGTTCAATCCTTTAATATTTTTCTTCATGATAGAGTTAAGGTCACCTAGCCAGCCAATTTCTTTTTTTAATCAATTGTATTATAACTTTGCCATTTCTTTTATAATTGAGTCAGATCTTGGCAATTTTTTATTTTTGAGGAATGCCCGTCACTAGCAATTGTGAAATTATAATTTTTGTTCAGAAGTTTTGGCATTAACTTGTTAATTGCTTGTTAACAACAATTCATAAATGTTTTCTTTCAGGCAGCCATGGCCATGATTTCCATTTAACTTTTTCTTATTCAATATATACATATTATTTAATGTATTTTGTAATGTATACTATTTTAGGTATTGGAATGACCAAGAGGTTCTGCAAAAGCTTGGCCAAGCAATGGGAATTGTATCTTCAGGAGAACCTGCAGCTTCATCTGAGCCATCAGGAGCTGAACAAGGCGAAGCGGATGCAGAATACGAAGATGAATCTGCTGTTCATCATGCAGCTAGCATTGGCGATGTTGAGGTAAAGTCAAATAATTGGCTACTGTAATTGATTTTATGATCCATGAAGCTGTTCAATCACTAATTTTAATTGGAGATGATCTAGAGTTTGAACTTTCATTTTTATAATATTATTTAATGAAATAGGGAGACAAAAGGGTGGTGGGACCTGCAATGCTTTATGGCACATGATGTTTTGCTAAGATGAGAATGCCTAGGTGGATGAGTTGCTTTACACTTAGAGACAAAATGTGAAAAAAATATATCCATGACAGGGTTGGTGTAGCTCCAGTGGCAGATAAGATTAGACAGAGTCTTCTTAGATGGTTTGATCACATTAAACTTCGACCATCTGATGATTCGATTCGGAGCGTAGATGTTTTAGATTTGACATATGCTAAGAAAGATAGGTAGACCTAAAAAGACTTGGGCATGTTGTATAAAAAATAATCTTATTTTATTAGAATTAGATCAAAATTTGACACTCAATAGGACCCAATGGAGAAAAAATATTCATGTAGCCGGCCCCACTTAGTGGGGGTAAAGGCTTTTTGTTGTTCTACTTAATGAAATAAAGAGTAAACCAATTTCAATTTCATCAATTTCACCCAACTTGAAACACAACATGGAAGCTAAATACGTCTGCAATTAGTATACATAATTTTAATTGATATAGCATCACAAAAGCACTTGAAATGTTAATAACAATATGAGTTTGTGGCTTCTAAAGTGCCTTATGGTTGGAATGTACTCTCCTAAAGTTTTGAAGGTAAAATGAATGCATGTCCTAGATATTTCCTTGAATGATATGGAAAATTAAATAGGTTTCATTTTAGTTTTGGGGATCATGATTTCTCAGAGGAGCAAACCAATATGATTAATTACATCTCCGGTGAGATACTTGAGAACATTCATGATCATGAAAATAAACTTTATTTGGTTTTTACAATTCAAGGTTTGACCTTGAAATAGGGATGTAAGTCAAACCGGCTCGTGAGCTTGGTTGATAAGTGGTTCATGAACTGAGCTCGATGAGCTAACAAGCCAAGCTCAAGCTAGCCCCTACTAAACTCGTTTGCTCGTGAACCGGCTCGTTTAAAAAACTATTATTATAAAATATACTCAAAATATAAAGTATTAATATATTTTCTATTTTTTATTAGGTGAATTTTTATTATTTTTCTTCTAATTGTTTATTTTATTTGTCATTTTATTATAAGAGTACCTTAAATTAATATTATTTTCTCTTTTTTATAATAAACAAGCCGGGTCGTACTCGAGCTCGAGCTCGCTTGACTTGATTGCACCCCTACCTAGAAAGTGTCATATGTGATGGAAGATTTTAAATTCATGCAAATAGAATAAAATTTGAGGGATGTCATGGACTTCTTGGAGTAATTAAATTGGTGACTTGCGCTTGCCTTTGGCAGAACGCAGCTCACACAATTTGCTATCGAGGTTTCAAATTCTAGAGCGGCGCTTGAATAAAGGTTTTATGCCATGTTTTAAAAACTTTACATCCAAAAAATTATTCGGCTTGAAACTTTACATCCAAATCATTTATTACACGAACCCAACTTTACTTCCATCAACAAACACTGACACTTCAATCAAACAAAGTCTTTTATGCTAAATTGGTCTGATTTCATTTTCGAAAATGTTTAAATTGGTCATGCTTCAATGTTAGAAGATTTATTGTCAGTCAATAGGTTAGTTGAAATAACTTGTTGCTGAAGAGGTTTTAAGGAGTTTGGACATAATTTATCTTTGATAAGATTTGTTGAGGGAATGAGAAAGTATAAGAAGCCACTAAGCAAAAAAAATATTTGTTTGAAAAGAGCTTTAGAGGAAAGGAAAGACGAAGTTCTTTAATGTTTGCTTGATTGAATTGAGCAAAACCTGACCTTTTAAATAAAATGGGATATGAAGGTGGAAAATAATGAAGGAAATCAAATCCTAGCAAAAAAAGTAAATATAAATATTGCACCATGATGGTGGAAAATAATGAAGAAAAAAATAAATTGGTGCATTGATTATGGAGGTTCTTTAAAATGAAATGGATGCCGTAGTCTTAATTGGTGAAAGTATATTCGAAATAGTTAAAAATTGGGTCACTAAATTTATTTAGAATAAAGGTCTTTGGATTAACAAAGAATATTTAGTACATGTTGTACATTTTTTGTGGGTAGTAAAATAATTTGGATAATATTAATGATGATAACAATGATGATGATTATGATGATGTGGATGCATGTATAATATTTAAAAGTTAATAATGTTAGAAGATCTGGTGATAGTTGAGTGATAATTTAGACAAGTTAAATTTACGATGCAGAATAATTTATATATAGATGAGGATGTAATTTACAGAATGAGAACCATGTTACTAAATTGAAGTACATCTGAAATAATATGGTGAGAGTATTTTGTGTACTTTTGGTGACAGTAATGTGATATTTTTGTTTTTGAGCTTGAAATTCTCATGCTATTTTTCTATGCTGTGCGACAGTGAAAGTGCTTACGGCCATGTTTAGTGCAAATAAAATGTAAATTTAGAAATGCCTATATGGTGATTGGGGAAGAGCTAAAAGAGAATTTAACATGCCTTGTTGGTAAAATAAAAGTTAAAGTCTGATGCCACCTACAACGTTAATTGAGAATGCAAGTAATAAAGACAGCATGACTGCATAAATATTTGATTTAATCAAACTGCTGCCTTGGTAAGTTTGTATTTATTTTGGGCTGTATTCATTTGCAAGCATTTCATTTACTTTATTCTCGCGAGATGCATCTTTCTGCTATTGTTTTTATTTTTCTTTGTTAATAGAGGCATCTACATACATACCACTCAATTTGTATATATTTTATATGACTAACACCAAATCTTTACTTTTTACATGTATACCACCCAAATTTTTTTTAACACATCAAAATTACCACCATTTTAAATTTCAAGAAGTGGAATGTACCTTTTCATGCATGGATAGGGTGGCATGTATGTAAAAATTGAAGTTTAGTTGTTTGATATGTAAATGCATAGGAATTGAGTGGTACGTTACGTACATATGTAAATCTTCCTACGGTATTTCACATTTTATGCCTTGAAGTTTCATCTGCTTGCAAACTCATACAGGCCCTGAAGAGTGCGCTTGCTGCTGGAGCTGACAAGGACGAAGAGGATTCAGAGGGCAGAAGAGCCTTGCATTTTGCATGTGGCTATGGAGAGGTATGAATACTTCATTTTAAACTTGGTATGCTGCTTGTCTATAGTTTTTGTTGCGTTCAAAATGATCTCTCTTTAAACTTGGAGTTTCCTTGTAAAATTTGCAAAATAAAAAAAAAGAAAAAAGGGGGGTAGTGTAATTTAAGAATGTTCAAGAATACTGTCACGCTATTGTAGGTCTACAAATATAGTAAAATAATTTATTTTTACTTTATATATCTTTATTAAAGGTCAAATATATAAGGCGCTTTGAATTTGTATAATTGAGGGATTAAGATTCATCAAATTAAAAATGATTGAAAACAATACAAACTGCAAAAAGATCTGTGTAAGAATAAATAGAGAATAAAAATGTTTGAAAGTCATATTGAGAAGTCAAGATGACACTAATGATTCTGCTACGTGCTGATACATATGGTTCTCTCGGTTGACTTTCTCTAGTAGATATCACAGAAACTTCTAGAATTCCTTATTTTCATTTGTTTTTCAGGTGGAATGTGCCCAAGTTCTTCTTGAGGCCGGAGCTGCTGTGGATGCTTTGGACAAGAATAAAAACACTGCTCTCCATTATGCTGCTGGGTATGGACGGAAGGAATGCGTAGCACTTCTGTTGGAAAACGGTGCCGCTGTGTAAGCCTTGCTGTTCCTTTTTCTTGTTCTCATTTTTAATTTTTTTACCATATATA